GAAATTGAGATTGTACGACTTCCACTTTATTACAATTAATGAAAATTCTTTATTTTTCTCATGAATTAAATGTTGCATCCACTACTTTCATTTTCATTTTCATTTATATATAACTAGATTAATTTATGCAAAACAAAGTAAATTAAATCACCATGATTTCCTTTTTGGTGGTACATTCATAATTTCCTTACCATGATGTTCTTAATTAATAAAACACGTGGCCAGTAAGTTTTGTTAACCGTTTTAGTGGAAAGTTTATTAATTTGTCTTTGTTAGATGCAAATATTTGTTTTTCAGATTAAATAGGATGTAGCATAATGAGTTTGACAATATTGTTGTATCTCCACATAATATACAACATTGGCTAACGGTCATAAACACAGGGACTGAATTAGCTAAATTGATAACACATGGACCATTTTTGCATTTAAGCCAAATTATTATTAATCTTTCAACATTCTTAAGAAGAATTTTAAGAAGAAAAAAAAGAAGAAAAAAAAAACGAGGGTTTCTAGAGCAAAGCTGCATATAGAAGTTCATTCCAAGCATCAGGAGCACCAGGAAGACACCAATGGCTACAGTCTACAAATTTGGGACCTTGGCCTGCATAAATGGAGGGGTGGCCATCTTTTCTCAGCTGGGTGAGCAAAGTAATGTCCAGTAAGTACACAGGCTTTTCTATGGTGCTCAAGACACTTTTTACAATAGCTTCTCCTGGATGGCTTGGGCCTGGATAAGTTGGCCCTAGAACTGGTTGGGTTTGCCCTAGGCACCCTTTTGCTTTTGGGTCCTTCCATTCCCTGCCACTAAAACAATTGATTTGATGCCCACAAAAAGGGAATATGTTAAGATTTAAGAACATTGAATGTGCAAATTTTATGAACAATTTGATTGAGACGGGGAGTTGAACTTACTCAAGATGAACTGCAGCAACTCCTTGGAAAAAGACTCTGGTCTTTGAAAAATCAATGTTGGAATCAACCCATTTAGCCCAAGTTGTTAATGCAATCTTGTAGGCCTCCATGTGATCCATTTCTTTCACTAACTTGTCCCCTACTTGAAAGTAGTCCCATCTGCAACAAAAGCAAAGAATTAATCACCACTTATTCAATCTTAAATTAATTATTTTGATTAATTGATTGTAACTTATATATATTTGGTATGGAAATGTCCTCTGACAAGATAGTCTGGTCCGTAGTCTTGCCAGATTGTCGAATTTAAATTATAGACAAGATTCTTTGAATTTGTAACTCAAATTGACAGTCCAATAATATAACATGCCAGACTGTTATTAGAAATAAGACGTTATTGTATATGGTATGCAAATTAAATACTACTCATACTTACGTTTGAGAACGCCTAGTGTGAGTCCACCAGTGAAATGTGTTGAAGATCAATAATATAACATGCCAGACTGTTATTAGAAATAAGACGTTATTGTATATGGTATGCAAATTAAATACTACTCATACTTACGTTTGAGAACGCCTAGTGTGAGTCCACCAGTGAAATGTGTTGAAGATCAATAATATAACATGCCAGACTGTTATTAGAAATAAGACGTTATTGTATATGGTATGCAAATTAAATACTACTCATACTTACGTT